CCCTAAGTCTCACTCTCTCTCTCTCTCTCTCCATTGGTATTATTTTCTTTCGTTTAATGATCTTTTGTATTTTCTGAAGTATGATAAATAGAAAATTAATAATTTAAAGTAATTTATATAATAAAAATTATGACTGCTATTACAGTCGATATAAAATATAAAAATGGGGATATGATTTATATTACGCATCTTACGGTGCTCGGAAATAGAAAAAAAGGAATAATAATAAAGCAGTGATTAAATAGTTGAATTTAAAATTTTGAAAATCCCTCTCTTAGATAAAATCTTTTCCTCCTTCTCATCTAACAGAGAAAATATTGATAATAAAAATACCGTTCCACAATAGGTTTGATTTTTTTTATTTTGATTCTTTTTTTCTTCTTTTTAACCACGTAGAGACGCACACAATAAATCACAGCCTTAATATTACATGCGACGTAACATGAATAATTTCAATGGGAATCCATGCATATGCAAGAATCAAATGTACGAGCCATTTTTAAAGCCGTTACCGATATCTAGGTCGCGAAAGCAAAAGCGTTTATTCGTTCGCGCCATAAATCAGTCCTTTAGGACAAGTGCGATCGTCCTTGCAAAAAATCGCGAACAAAAAAAAGTACAAGCAAATGCAATCCTCGTGGTGGCGAAGGAAAACAATGTAGGTATTCGCGTGGCCTCGCATCGTCGGGAGTCCAAGAGACGATCACCGTCGCGCGCGCGCGCGCGCCATAGATCCCAATGATTCGGTGCGTGTATGCGTGTACATAATATGCGAGAGAGATTAGCTTGCATGCAAATGTCCGAAAAGCATTGTACACGTACCGGGAATTCTGCATCATATCGCTTTCAATCTCTCCGTTTCTATCTCCTCGTCTTCTCGCAGGACTTCTTCGTGTTGGTGTCGCTGGCTCCTGCAGGCAATAAACACGGTGATAATCCGTGGTATCAAGGAACATAGTCCCGACTGCCGGCATTGTGAGGGAGCCTCGGCTCATGCTCATACGCCAAGCTGCGTAGGTCCAGTTCATGAAATTTCCGCGACGTAGAGTCCTCGCTACTGCTACCTGATTTATGGCGCTTTAATCCGATCCTCGCTCTATCCATCCTTGCCGTTCTCTCGAGCTCCGGAGGTAAAAAGCTCTTTTGCCGCTGCTGATTCCTCCTTTTCTCCTTGCGCTCTGCTCGCCCAGTTCTTCCGTCCCTCTTGCTCTTTATCGTTTCTTTCAGCATCAAACAGAGAAGATCGTGTTGTAGAAACTGTGGTGAAGGGGTGGAGAGAGGAGACGAGGAAGTTGGAGGAAAGCCGATAAAAAATCTTGAGGATTTATCGCTGCAAAAAAGGGAATGTGCGTCCCAGAGTCCGTTGAAAGAAAGGACGTGGAGAATAAAAGCCGTGCGCGCGTGCGAGAAAGAGGGTGTGAGAGAGAGAAAGAGGGTGTGTGTGTGAGAGAGAAAGGGTCAGAGAGAGAGAGAGAGAGAGAGAGAGAGAGATACAGAGCGTGGCCCGTGCGAGTATGAGGTAAAAGAGAAAGAATGATAAGACAGACCGACAAAACGACGGTGCAGTCTGTTTTGGATCAATTCTTTATTTCGATTCCCTACTTTCTTTACATCTTGGCAAATTTTATTTAACCTCCAATACTAATTTTACCAACGTATTAGTTTCATTCCTTTCCTTTTCCTACGATTGAAACATTTCTTTGTTCCTTTATATGGATCTCCAGTTTTTTTCTTTCTTTTTTTCTTTTTTTCTTTTTTTTTTTTTCTTTTGCTAGCTATCTGCATTGATGTTGGAGATCCATTGAGAAAGCCTGAATCCACTGAATAAATGATCTTAGTCTCCTGCCACGGAGAATCGTACACCGTACATAGACGTCGCTAGTAATACCTCCACAGTACGTACATTAAATTCATCCTTCACTTTTTTTTTTCACCCGTCGTCCTCTATGCGAGTCTTGCCTAAGTACCCCAGATTCAATGAAATAATAATTATTGTAAAGTATGAATGCTCCCGATTGAAAATTAGAAATATTAGATAATGCGCTGTAAATCAGGGGGTGATATCCTGTTTACGAGGACATTCGCGACTTATAAATTGAATTGGAGTATATATTTATGGCTCGCGAGAGATTTATTTATATGTATATAGATAGGTTAAGCAAATATCTAGGAACTCATTTATCTTGAAATGATATTGTGAATAGGAGGAAAAGCCATTGTTTGTTTACCCCCGAGTAATTAAAGAACTCATCGTCTTTAAGAAATCCATTTTTCTTCTTAAAAGTAAATACTCGTCAAAAATTACCGTGTTCTCCTTTGAACCTTTGACCCTTGCTAATTAGTCACTTACAGCACCGCAGAGAGCACCAACCAATTCCACTAATTAATCTCGAAAACTTTTTCTCTTACCAACATTTTGGCGCTTTCAACTCGGCTCTCGTCATTTTTCTATGCAGTTCAGCATCTTTCAGCGATCATCCTCTACGTCTGCCCTTGTCGGTAGCAAACACGATGAATTTCGCGAGGAAAGTAGTTTGAAGTTCTGGCTGTATCCTTGAGCGTTCTTTCCATCGTTTTTACTTTTTTTTCTCTCTTCTTTTTCTCTCTTTTTGTCTCTCTCTCTCTCTCTCTCTCTCTCTCTCTCT